AAAAGGGAGAAGGAGGGGGAGAAGGAGCTGGTGGAGAGGGGGCAGAAGCAGAGAAGCTGGTGGAGAGAGGGCGGGAGAGCTGGCTGGAGAAGGAGGAGGGGGAGAAAGGGGGAACGGTGGGGTAGAGAAGGAGGCGGGGGAGAAGCTGGTCGGAGAAGGGGAGGGGGAGAAGGAAGAAGGTGTGGAGGAGGGGGAGAAGGGAGAAGGTGGTGAGGGGCGCAGGAGGAGAGAAGGCTTCGCGTGGCAGAAGGATGGGAGGAGAGCAAGGAGGGGCGAGGAAGCGGAGGCTGTGTGGATGAGGAGGGGCTGAGAACGAGAGAAGGGATGAAGGAGGGGTGAGGAGGAGGGGTCCGAAGGGGAAAGGGGAAGGCTGGTGGAGGAGGGGGGAAGAAGCTGGTGGAGAAGGTGGAAGGAGCGGGAGAAGGGAGAAGGGCCCCCCGGCTGGTCGGAGACAGGGCGCGAGGGGAGAAGCTGGTGGAGAAGGAGGAGAGGGAGAAGCTGGTTGGAGGAGAAGGACGAAGGGGAGAAGGAGAAGGTTGGTGGGAAGCCGAGGAAGGGAGAAGCCTGCGTGGAGAAGGGAAGGGGGAGAAGGAAGAAGGTGGTGGGAGAAGAGGAGGGGGAGAAGTGGTGGAGAAGGAGGCAGGGGAGAACGGTGTTGGAGAAGGAGGAGGGGAGAACGGCTGGTGGAGAGAGGAGGGGAGAAGAGAGCGGAGCGCGGTGGTGGAGATGCGAGCGGGATGAAGCTGGCGCTGGAGAAGGAAGGAGGGAAGAAGGGAGAAGGTGGTGGGAGGAGGGCGGAGATGCTGGGACGAGAAGGAGGGGGGAGGAGCCAGTGGTGGAGAAGGAGCCGAAAAGCGGGAGAAGGAGGGGAGAAAGCGGAGGCTGGGGGAGGAGCGAGGGGAGAAGGGAGAAGCTGTGGAGAAGGCAGGTGGGGGAGAAGGGGGAGAAGGTGGGCCTGGAGAAGGAGGAGGGGAGGAAGGCTGGTGGAGAAGAGGAGGGGAGCAAGCGGAGAGCTTAGGTGGAGAAGGAGGAGGCGGAAGAATCCTGGCCGTAGCTTCCTTCGTTCTCCCACCAGCTTCTCCTCCTTCTCACGCAGCATTCTCCCCTCGCTTCTCCCGCCTCCTGCCTCCGCTCCCCCTTCACTCCATCACCTCTCTCCCGCTCCTGCTTATTCCTCCTCCCTTCCTCCCTCCTCCCCTCCTGCCCCTACTCCTCCTCCATCACCCTTCTCCCCTTCCCTCCGCCTCCTCCTCCATCACCTTTCCTCCCCCCTTTTTCCCCGCCTCCCTTTCTCCCCTCCCCTCTACCTACGTAAGCCTCGCCTCCTTCCCCTACTCCATAAACTTCTCTCCTGCCTCTTCCTCCCTCCGTACCGCACGCTTCCTCCCTGTTCGTTCTCCCCCCTCCTGCCCTCGCTCACTCATTCCCGCCGATCTACGTCCCATCACGACTATTTCTGCCCTCCTCTTCCTCCTCTCCTCCTTCGCCTCCTGGTTCTCCCCTTTTTTCTCCCCTACTGCATCACGCTTCTCTCCTCCTCCTCCTCCTCCTACTCCTCTCCTGCGCCCCTGACTCCTCCTCCCCACTCCCACCCACTCATCTCCGATCGTCCTATCACCTTCTCCGGCCGTCTCCTCCCCCCTACTCGATACACCCTTCTCCCGCCCTCCCCCTCCCGCTCACCGACGCAACACCTTCTCCGCATCGTCCCGACTCCATCCATCCTTCTCCCCTGCCCCCTCCTTCTCTCCTCCTCCCTCGGCGGCCTCCTCCTCCGCTCTCTCCTCCACTCTCGTCCCTCCCTCCTCCGATCACCGTTCTCTCCTCCTCCTCCCTCCTCCTACCCACTAAACTTCCTCCCTCCTCCTCTCCCTCCTCCTCCTAAACCCGTCCATGGGCAGCCGGGCGTTAAATAAATAATGTTGCCGCGAACAATTCCAGACCGGTGCTGAGATATACCCCAGTCTGCAATTACCACCTCATGCGGGCGACGACAGGATATATTTGCAGCGGGAATTTCAGACTGGGGCGGTAATCTCAGGACCCGCTGAACAGCCGGTCTGAGATTAGCCGCCAGTCTGGAATTACCCCCTATGGGCACAGCAGGCACGTACTAATCTTGCAGGAGGTAATTTCAGTCACTGGGGTTAATCCTCAGACACGTCTGGACACCGGTCTGGAACGCACGCGGGGTACCCAGTCTGAACTTACCACTGATGGCAACACAGGAGTATAATTTTCCAGGCCGGTTACCATTTTCAGACGGGGGGGCGGGTAAGTCTCGAGACCGTGACAGCCGGGGTCTGCAGATTTTACCACCCCAGTCTGAATTTACCCTCCTACTGCCAGACTAATCTCAGACTGTGGCCGCGGCAGTCTCATTATCCAGCGCTACTGCGCATGCGTCACGCATGCGCGCGAGGTGCTAGGGGTAATTTCAGACTGGGGGTAATCTCAGACCGTGACACCGGCAAGTACTATCGCCCAGGCGATCACCAAGGCTTGCCGAAAAAAGGAAAGCTATCTCAAAAGAACACGCATACAGTACGCCTGCCAGTAAGCGACAAAAAATAGCTCCATCAATATTCGGCACTTACGTAGACCATGTGAATACTTACGCGCTTAAGCATGGCTGCAGTTTTAACACGTCGGAGTTGTATGATATTGAATCGGGATGGTGGCTCCGAGTGTATCCACAGAACTCGCACGTACCAGAGAGTAAGGGAGGGCCAATAAGTGCAGTAAATTTGTTGGTGCATGAGGAAGGAAAACTGCAAGTGCGTATTATGGAAGAAATTGTCGAGGAGCAAAAGTGTTCATCAACAGAAACTGACCACCGTGATATCTTTGAAGGCATGCTACAAAAGCTTCGTATCTACACCCCATGTTTCGGCATAGATGAAGTCCAATACAGGTCAGCGACTGCCAATTTACGATACACGCCAAAGTGCATACGTTCAGAAGTACCATACGTACACTACAGATCCAAAGCCTGTCTAGTGTTCATCAATGTATCAGACAGAAGAAAACGCGAAATCTGTACAAAATGCCAGCAAATGATGCGAAATATGAAAAGAAAAAGTGCTAAAGCTTCAAAAATCACAGAATCAGCACACAAAAAACGTTTACAGCCATCATCTCACTACCCCATATCTTTACTCTCACCTAAGAGCCAAAAAATAAGATCAGCCAAAAGAATGCACAAAACTCGTGCAGTTGAAAAACGTTTAAAGCGATACCAGCAAAAGTTCGAGGCACTATCAGTGCAACTCAACCATGACCAAAGTGCTGACATGAGTCGTGCTGTCGAATTCATTTCAAAGAGTAAGCAGGGTCAAAGGGCTTTCAAAGAGCTACTAACCAACAGTGAGCAAGAAGCAGGCAGACAAGTTGCTGATTCAATGAGAGATGCTTGGGAGAAAGATCAAGCGAGGAATAGTAAGTATACTCCTAAAAAGAATGAATAGCAAAATTCACTTACGTGGACTACAGACTAGTTTCATAGTAACTAACTGCTTCAGACATGTTGAATTATTGTTGCTAATTAAAATTCATGCAGGTGCCTGTTTGTATTATGGTTAATTAATGTCTAACTTTTCATATTTAGGAAGTGGAAACAAGTCCAATGTATGGTCTACGGTTACATACAGAATGGGTATGTTTCAATTTATTGTATTATTATTATTTATTCATTTTTCAAAATTAAAGATCACTCAAAATTGTTAAACTCCTGATATAAAACTTTCATATCAGGACTCAGAGTTTAACAATTTGGAGTGATCTTGAGTTTGTCTTTAGATATCCCGACAACAATTCACTGCTTAATTGCCGAAAAGGATCTCTGCATTAAACCCGTAACAATTTCTTGACCCAGTCGTGAAGGTATCAGTTAAACATATTAAAATTCTGAAATCAGTTTTGTTTTGGCATGCTCAATAGTAGTTGCTCGTAAAATGACACCCTTGCACTAACCTATCATCTTCGTTACAGCAAATTTTAAATTGTTTTTGCAGCATTGGCGATCTTCTCCAGAAGTCCGGCAGCCTACAAGGCTCTTGCCAAACTGCAAATTCTGCAGCTACCTTGTGTTCGAAGTCTGCAAAGACAGATGGAAGCAGCCCTCGAGGTCAGCGGGCTGTCAGAAAAAAACATGCACGCTGCAGCCGCTTACTACCACACCTTCAAACAGCAGAAGGTTTCTGAAGGTCAAGAAGAACCTAAGGGTGAGGGCGTCCTGATTCTCGATGAAGTGCGCGTCATCGGTAAGGTAATGTGGAACAGTAAGAATCTCCAAATGTACGGCGTCGCGCTAACACCAGACGATCTCAGCACCTTACATGACGTTTATGAAACACTGGAACAAAAGAAGCGTATAGCACCAGCGCAGTCTGTCCTGCAGTTTCTTTGGAGAGATCTGTCTTCATCCTACGACGTCATTGGCCCCTACTTCGCTACAGAATCTTCCATCGAGCACAAATTTTTGACAGGATGCCTTGCAGAAACCATGAGGCTATTCGAGGCCAATATGTTTCACACCGCCTGCATAGTTTGTGATGGTGCTGGTGCAAATTTGACCACAATCAAAGCATGGACCGGGATAAGGCGAGGTGCGTACAGTCGATCGAAGGAATCTTACACGCAAGACATGGCCAAAGAATGGAGAATCGTGTCGTACGTTTTAGTCTGTATCTCCGGATTGCGGGTGTATACGATTAAACGATTTTGCACGATGCTAGGCGAATGTACTGTGTCCGATTTGAGCTTAAGTTGGATGAGTTACGCGTAGTAAATCGTAGGTATTATAAGGCTAGTAAATGACAAATTTCCCTTGTTTATTGATGTNTTTTATTACGCTTCAGCATGGTACCTATAGATACCATATATATATACCAATATTCAGAAAATGCGTATTTCTCAGGCCAAACCAAAAAATAGGTGTGTTTCCTATTGCATCAAAAACAAAAGTAGGTAGGGATTTCTATTTTTATTTATTTTTTGTTGGTTCTTAATATCCCTCTAATGCATGCTATAAAGTCGTTTATAGGTAGGGGTAAGTTAGTAAGCAAGTCCAGAACGTGTTTGTAGTAAAAAATCTTATGTTTTGTCTGTCAGATTTCAAATTACAAAAAAATTCTATAAATTTTTTATTTTTTTGATGGAAAAATTTTAGGGTCGGCCTTAATAATCGAGGGACGGTCGGTCGACCGGAATCACCTTTTTTTTAGTTTGGCCGTATAGTGTTAAATATTATATTGTAACAGTAAACATTACTATGCAAGCACTTTGTGTATCCCAGCACATCTCTTACACGTCGTTCGCATTCATGCGGTGCAGTGCGAATACATTTTAACTATAACTTCAATGACATTCAATAACTTCTATTAACATCAATCTAATGACTTATATCCTGATCTGCAAAAATTGATTTACAGCAAGAACATGTGCTTATGGAGTTGGAGAGCTATGCGCAACCAGACGAGCCGACGGCCATACCTCGCGAGAGCAAATCCGTGATGGCTACGCATGGCTATTTGGCAGCATGCAACCTAATGTTTGAGCGCGGTTTATTGTCACATCACAGAGTGACTGCTCAAAATCAACACGTTCTGCACAACATCTTGGAGGGATATCGCTACTTCGAAAACTGGGCTAAAGAATTGGAAGGTAATGCATGCAACTAATGTTCCATACAAAGCAAGTGTAACGTATTAAATTCTGTTAATGAAAAAGCTTTACAGGTGTGCATATCACCTCTGTATGAAGGTAATGATGTATACTGGAACTGTAATCTCTTTACGTATAATTAACCTAATTCTTAATTGCTACCTTCAGACATGAGCGACTTCCAACCTAACTCCCCAAGAGAGAGACGATTTCTGGCATGGCAGACGTGGGATTTGCTCAGAATTACAGTGTCTGGATTCCAGGGTGTCTGTGCTGATTTCTTGAGTAGGCATGGCGATAAACATTTCATTTCCCCGCTACGCATCAACGGCAGCGCAGTGGAAAGTCTTTTCTCAAGGCTTAAAGCTTACACAGGTGGTAAACTCACATCTATAAGCTACCAGACATCTAGAAAAAGTATTATTATACAAGATGAGACAAAACACCCTAGTATAGAGGGATACCGAGACGTACCGTTATTCCATCACTATGATGGTTGAATAAACACGTTGACCGATATCATGCATCATAAACTGTAATTTCGGGTTCTATTAGTAGATCCTATTGTAAATGCCATGCAGAAAGTTTACAGTTGCTTTTTAGCCAAGCAGTAAAGTTCATCGCGCAAGGTCAAGCCTCCTTTCATCATCGGGTTTCCCTGCTGTTCCGCTACACCCAACTGATGAGAAATCATGCACTCGTTCACTCGGGCGTTGACTATCTTTGTTTGCCACATGCGGTGAAGAGTGCTAATGGTTGAGTTAGTTGCGTTGCACTTGGCCATGGTGCATGCATAACGCGCAGCCTCTCCAAATATGTCACGAAGGTGATCCATGGCATTCACTTGTTGAGAGGTGATCTGTAAGAATAGGTAAAGCAGCATTGCATCAGAGGAATTATTATACAGGTACAACACCTATTTTCCAGAACCCTTGATTCCAAGGCCTTTCCGAATGGCTACGTGGCGACACGCCCACGTGATGCGGCTACGTGGCGACGCGCCCACGTGGTGATGCGGCTACGTGGCGACGCGCCCACGTGCGTGATGCGCTAGGTGACGCAGCGCCCCACGTGGTGAGCAGCTAAGGTGGCGACGCCGTCTACGTGGTGATGCGGACTACGTGACGCCGCGCCCACGTGGTGATGCAGCTACGTGGCGACGCGACCATGTGGTGATGCGGCTAGGTGACGCCGCGCCCACGTGGTGATGCAGCTACGTGGGCGACGCGACCATGTGGTGATGCGCTAGGTGACGCCGCCGCCCACGTGGTGATGCGGCGATGCGGCTACGCGCCCACGTGGTGATGCGGCTACGTGGCGACGCGCCCACGTGGAGACGCGCCCACGTGGCGCCGCGCCCACGTGGTGATGCGGCTACGTGGAGACGCGCCCACGTGGCGATGCGGCTACGTGGCGCCGCAGCCACGTGGTGATGCGGCTACGTGGAGATGCGCCCACGTGGCGATGTTTAGAAATAATGGAGCTGGTGTAATAATTAACACTGCTCTATGTAGATTTGCTTATAATTACTGTAGCAATTGTAGTACAAACCTTTATAATATTCTTCCCGTAGAGTGCGATTCCGCTTTCCGACGCGATTGTTCTAATTGCGCGGTCCAGGTTTCTCAGCCACAGTAAAAATACGCGCTGCGGAACGAGCAAGCCACCCCTGTCACGTATTCTTAGTGGTGTTGGCATGGGAACTCTTCGTTTCTGCTCTGTTGTACGGACACCTGAATAAGAGCAAGGCTTTAGTCAAGTTGGCAAAACTTTGATATTGTTGTTATGCTCCTCACTTTTCCCATCATCGGCAAAACAAGCCGGTATGTTGTTAAGTGTTGCAAAGTCTAATCTTTTGCTTTCTGTATCATTGTATCATTGTAGCATTGTTTAATATTTATGTTGCTACATGTTTACAAGATTGAAAATGTAATGTATTATTAAAGATAAGTGTTGCAACATCTGGTAACAGCCATGATAACAGTGTTTAACACAACGCAAAATTACAGCCGTAATAATTTTATGGCTTAGATACAAATGTTAGAAAAATGTGCCTGTATTGTTTAGGCAGTTGTTCATTTATTTATTTCTTATGCATCTACATGAATGAAATACAGCATATTTATAAGCTATGCTGTATCACTAGCAGGGGAAAAATAAAAATTTACTTTTCAAGCTCGCATGCATGAAACTAGTACTCTAAAATTTTTGTTTTGTTTGTATTGAACTCTATGCAAATTTACGGGGCTCTTTTGTGCATTTCCGGGGCTCTTTTTGGAATTTCGGGGGCTAAATCGTCCCGAGCACCCGTGTATTTTTTTAACTGATCACTAGTACTTACAGGTTGTTATCAGTATCAGCAATGCATTGCCTTCCCTTCTCTGCCTTGCTGACTTAGAAAGCTGTCTTCTTGTCACTACGCGCTTTACTAGGTTCACACAGCCACCAGCTATAGCGAGAAGCGCGTACTCTGACTCCTCATGGAGAGACTCGACTGTAGCGAGCGATTCCTCTGTAGACGACTTGATTTTTATCAACCATTCGCTGGCCTGCAATGCAAGGAATAAGTGAATAGATTATATTTTACTTACAGCTAGATGTTCCATTTTAGGGTAATATTGCATGTTGCATTTTCTTTAAATAACAGCAATAATTCCCATAATTTATTGCTGCATGGTTTTTGTGAAGTTTCCATTGTATGTTGTATTGAAGCTGTTGCGGCAAATTACATAATTTAACCCCGTTATTACCAACAACTCATTTTAATTCTTTAACAAAGCGTTTGCAGCATTACTAATACTATTAGTATTACTAGTAGTACGGTACTTTACTTTCTGTTCAACCAATGCTAACGAGTAGTAGACTCTTACCTTGCGGAAGACTGCTGAAGCGATAGCGTGTCCAACTTGTCTAACGTCGTTAGTACTGTCGTCACTGGTGCTATCAGCCACTGGAAACGACGCCACGGCCCTTTGCCACTGTTCGCGCATGAGAGATTTATGCATCGCGTCCGTGTCACTGGTACTAGTACTAGTACTGCCGGCACCGGGCCCTAACTTGATGACATCGATATCGCTAAACGCGTACGATACCGTATTCAGCCACACCAACTGAAACGCCACGTAGCTGTCTATAGGCCTGTTAGAAAATGAGCTTCCATACAATTCCATGAACAGGGTAAACAAATTTCCAACGAGCACAGCAAAGAATCCGTTGCTGTGAAGGCTTTGCAGGAACAATTTTCGGTGGCCAATCTCCATGTGCAATTCACTTTCCACTGCCTCGTTGACGTTTGCAACAAGTTCAGTTCTTTCAATTTCTTCCAGCTTACCACGAACTTCCTGAACTTGTGCCCTCGTCATTTTACGAACAGTCGAAGGTCTTTTACGGCGTTTGTCGATTCTAATTGGAGCTGTTGGCATGGAAAGTTTACGCTTCGGCGCCATGTTGAATAGTAAAGATGAGATCTCGCGAGAAATTTTATTTTGAAAATCCCTGGCGAACCTCGCTAGTTGTTTGCGTGCGCTGCGATAGAGGGCTTAGGGAAAACATAGCCCTTTGTTTCGGTTCACAGATCATAACAATGTCGTGTAAATTGATAAAACCACATTGTACGTTTGAACCGATATCTCCGGATTTGTCATTTTTATGTGACCAACGATTACACACGGATAAAGTTTAATGATTAAGGCAATACTTGAGCTCAAGTTTATCGAGGTAAACATAATAAATCATAGGTAGACTAAGGCTACTAAATGTTGAATTTTGCCGGTTTTTGCGTGGCTTACTCCTTTTGATAGACTCCTGATATATATATATCCTGGACTAGTAAAGTTTTCACAACAAAAATCACATGATTATAAGGTGGTATATATATATATATACATATACATATACATTTACATATATTACATATGCATGCACATATATAATATAGCAACTAGCATTTATGTGCCCATGGTTGATTGACAGTACTTTTGCTGTATATACACACACACATATATATATATATACATTTACATATCTATATATATACATTTATATATATATATATATATATATATATATATATATATACAGCAAAAGTACTGTCAATCAACCATGGGTGGGGCACATAAATGCTGGTTACTACGAAAAACCAACTATAGCAGTTTAAACAAAACTATATAATTAGCGACTTCGTAGTTAGCTTGAATAGTTTTCCGCATATTTAGAAATACATCACAACTGAAGTTTGACGTAGACACCGACGCTGCGAGTGTCACCAGCAAGACCAGTGTAGCCAGAAAGGGCAAGAAGACCAAGATCCACAGTTCCCTGACAGAGGAAGAGGAGCAGAGCATGGTGGATTGGCTGGCAGAAAACACTGTCTTCTACAACAAGAGGATGAAGGCCTACAAAAAGACATGACGAGTAAAGAAAGCCTCTGGAGAGAGAAGGCAGCCGAGCTGGGGAAGGATGTAGCCGAGCTCAAGCTCTGGTACAGCAGCCTCCGGACCCGCTTTGGACGTCTGAAGAAGAAGAAATCTGGCCAGGAAGATGTGGAGATGACAGAGAGGGACGAGTGGGTCTACAACCATTTCATTTCCGTGGCGCCTTACGTCCACGAGGTTCAGCAAAGACAACTGTAAGTGTAAGTAGTTCTAGCCACTTGTTTAGTGTAACTGTGTTTATTAAACTTATTAAATAAAGTAATGTTATAAAATAAAGTAATGTAAAATAATGTAATGTAATAAAGTAATTAAATAAAGTAAGTTATTAAATAAGTTGTTTATTAAATAAAGTAATTGTAATTCGAAACTTGTAATATGGAAACTACTTCACCATTGTACCTGCTGCGAAGTAACTCTGCA